AGCAGGGAAAGACTGAATTTTGGTCATACCAGCTTAATACCATCCTTGAATTAGAATGTATATATTTCATAATGGGTTTTATCAAAATGTAAATAGGATATAAAGCAGCAAGAACATTTTCACAGCAAAATTTGTTTTCTTATAGTACATTATTATAATGCAGTTTTTAAAGTCAAAAGTTGAAAAATAAATTATCTTATACTTTTGACATTCTTGAAAAGAACATCTATTTTACATCAACTATTTTTGTAAGGATCCAGATTTTCCTTTCTAGTTCAGTGCTGTTTTGATATATCATTAAAGTAACAAAGACATCTCTCCAGAATTCTTAGTGTAATGTAAATTTTGCCTGTGTGTGTAAAAATTGAATATTATTTTTACCAGCTGCAGGCAAGAATATTTGTCATTTCATTTTAATAGTAACCTTGAATTTTATATCTGAGGAATCATTGAGTTCTATTTTTAAAATGTTTTGGCTAAATGAATTTATCAGAAGAAAGTCATTCTGATAAATTTAAAATAAATACCTTTCATTAAAGACATTTAATATTAATGTAGATTTTGTTTGTTTTAAAGTATTTTCTTGTTAACTCTGTTGACTGTAGTAATTTTATGGAAACAATGATTACTAACTTTATTTTTGTCTGTTTAGTGAGGCTTGATGAATTCCAGTAGCTACCACAGAGTAAAGAATACATTGTTGTATCTACTCTCTCCATTTTCATTGATGTAATGCCTTTTTACATACCATTTTTATAGTACATTTATGTTGATAATTTTAAATATTTCTCTAGTTTGAGGACTATATAGGAATAGTTCACATTATATCCCCTATTCTGTGGCAGTGTCACAACTCTTGTTTTCTTAGTCTTACTTGCATTGAAGAAAGATATTTATTTTTGCTTTGATATTAATCAAGAAGCCATATGACTAGATATAAAAACTTTAACAATCACCGACCAAGTTCCAAATGAAATTGTACCATTAATTGAATCACTGCCACTTCTTGAATGTTTTCAAATTGTCTTTGTTTTTTTGAACAAACTTTGAACTGCTAGAAAATACTGTGTAAGTTCATACTAATGTCTTGGAACATTTTAAATGCCAGAGTAGTCATTCTGGTTTTGGTATGATTATAAATCTGACATTTACAAAGTTAAATTGATTAAGAGTACCAACCTCTCTTTTTTCCATTTTGTCCTAAGCACTGTTCCACTGACATGCTGTATATTGGAATATTATTCCACTCTGTATTGGAATTCTTTGGCTTTTTAAATTATTGTATTCTTGCCATCTTTTTAAAGCTAAATCATATTATTTTTCCTTCTATTTTAATCCTTCATTATTGAGATCAATTATAGTGAATTATTTGAGAAAAATAGTGGAGGAAAGAAAGAAATGGCAGCATTATTAGCAAAAGCAATAATGTTGAAAATGTTCTTTATAAAACTGTATGTATGCAGATTTTATACTTTTATGTGAATACATGTGTGGGGAGATTAACGTCTTTTGGATATCTTCAAAGAACTCATCGGTTGTGATCAGTTTTTCAAACCCTGTTAGCTGCAGACTTTTTCTTCAAAGGAAGTCTCATTCAGAATCACATCTATTAAAATAAGAGATGCCAAGTTTGCAAGGATAAGGAGTAAAGTTGACATAGGATGTGTTTTAGGTAGGCTAAAGCTTTACCTCAGCTACTTACTACTTTCTTCCTTTATCCCTCCTCTTTAATACCTTGTGAGACACAACCTCTTCTCCCACGAGGTATCTCCAGAATACATTTTGAAAATTGCAGATAATGTTGTGAACTTTTTTGTCAGTGATGAACCATTTTAGAAACTAAGTATTTGATGTGCGCCTGCATATTTCTCTCTCAAATTCTAAATTTCAAAATTGTCCATATACAAATGAGTGCCTTGGGAGAATTTGTAGTAATAGGCTTCATTAAGGGTTTTTGTTTCATTTAATATGGATCCTGCTCATATTATTTAAATACCAAATCAGAATCTATTCAAGGCACAATTGCTTGAGAGTTGATGATGACCGAGATTGCAGGTTTAGTGGCTTGCAATCTTGTAGGCAAGTAGGATCTTAAAGATCAAATGTTACCTGTTTTGAAAATCCTACAAATTATTTGTAAGCTATTAGGACAGAAGCTGCTAATCCTTTTCATGTGGTGCATAATTGAAATTTTAAAATATAAAGTGTGTGGATATTTGAAGTGATAGGATAGCTGATAACATAAGAGAGTTGAGTGCTCAGATATATGTATACAATGTGTAAATATGTTTTTCATTTAATCTGCACAGTCCTGCCATACCTATATTATCACATTTCACTCTGATTGGAAAATTCTTAGATTAAACAACATGCCAAAGATTATAGGGAGTTATGGATCCAGAGTTCCATTCATTGTCTTTTTCTCTTCAGAGGCACAGTTATACTTTTTCATGATAGAACCACTCTATGTCTATGAAGTGATAATGAAGTGAAAAGTTAACATTAGGAAGTATATTTGGACATGAAAAAGATTAAAGTTTATGGGATGGTCAGAGGTTCTCCATATCATGGATAAATTAGCTTTATGGACTAATTTAAGTATATCTTTTTCCTATTCACTTTATTTTACTTTGTATAATTTTTCAATTTTTAAAAACTATTTTTTTCAACTTCTTATATGTTTCAGTCTTAAAGTTAATTTTGGTCTTAATCACATTTGTTTATTCTCCTTTCCTTAAACTTCACTATAATCATAATGAATTTGTTTGGTTTTAGTTTTCTGTTTTTAAATGAAGTGAAATTTTTTTCAAAAAGTTGTTGCACTTCCCCATTCTGGGATGTTTTCCTCGGAGGAAAAAATGGTACTATTAAGTAATGTATATGACTTTAGAGAACAACCTTAAAGACTGAGGATTTAGCTCAGTGGTGACAGCCTCGCAAGCACAAGGTCCTGAATTCAATTGCCAGTACCAAAAGAAAAGAAAACAGCCTTAAAGTATTAAATAAAGTATTTAATTAAAATTATCCCAAACAAGTGGAGGGTTTGTATATATACTCTTCCCATCCACCCCTCTGTTGGAGATAGAACCAGGGGGTTAGCATTTTAATGTTACTGAGAAGCTTCACAGTAAAGAAATCTAATACCTTAAATTGCATGTTTTTATATAGATTAAATTAGGAATGATATAAATAAAGTATTTCTTTTAAGATAGACTTAGAGTTTTCATGAAAATATTAATTTAGAATTTTTAATTTGGTAATTTTTTTTTCTAGGACAATAGAAGGTTGTTTACTGTTTACGTTTGCTGATTTTAACAGTGAACTAAGCTGAAAAATATATATATCCAAAATTGTTGGTACATCAGTCCACCTCCCAAGTAGATTGACAGTTAGATTGGTTTTTCTAAAAACCTCTGGTTTATAAAATAAAAATATATAGATAATTTATTGGGCTTATTACATTTCAATTACAAACAATAACATTTTAAAATGTCTTTCTATATTTGATCCATTTAGTTTTTGATGTAGGATATATAACATGTCACATAGAAAAAACTTATTGAAACACTTAGGCCTTAGATTACACAGAACTAGATTTTATTTTAATCCTATTTGTGCCACACTAGTAGTGAAAACATTGAGTACATTATTTAATATTTATTCAGATATTTATCAAATAAGACCTATATAACAAATACAGGGCAGAAGGATGAGGTGCAGAAAAAGATATATTGCTTTTCTTTTAAGAATTCAGTGATGATAACATGTAGCACAACCTCTCTGAATCTAGTATCTTGTTGAACCCCAAAATGATACTTAGAGGAACAATATATTCTCAGCAAGAATTAGAATTCATGCCATTTAATTATAGGATTACTCAATGCCTTAAAATATTTACTTTAAGCTGCCTAATATGAGTTATTCAGGAATGAAACTAGATCTTGTTAAGGTCAGGAAATGTTCTGATGCCAGAACTACTTATCAGATGTTTAGAATTTGAGTGCTTAGAGCCATTGACTTGGGCTTTTGCTCTTGGCTTTACTCTGTGTAAGCAAAACAGTTTGCCACATCAGAAAAATTACTTGTCATATTAGCCTAATGAAAATACTTGCTATCTGTTCAAAGAAGAAACCTTCAAATTGAAACACAGCTACTATCTAGGAGCAGGGTCTACAAACTTTTCTCTAAAGAGATACATATTTCAAAATTTATGGACTGTACTATCTCTGTTGCAGCAATTTAACTCTGGTTGTAATGTGAAAACAGCTATAAGTAATACATAAATGAATAGGGTGGCTTAATAATAAGCTACTATGGACACTGAACTCTGAATTTATAATTTTCACATAACAAAAGTCTTCGTCACAAAATAGTTTTCTTTATTTAAACCCTTAAAAAATTCAGTCACTTAAAAATATAAACATTGCTTAAATCATAGACTGTACAAGAATAGGTGGCCAAATAGAGTTGGCTTATAGGCCATACTTCGCTGAATTCCGATTTAAGGTATAATCTGAATTTACTGTAATTGGGTTGGGTAATAACTGCCATACATTTAGGTGAGTGGTCTGTCCTTTTCAACAGGAATTGAATGTCAGAGTTTGTGTCTTGCCCCCCTCCTTTTAAATCCAGTTTTCTTTTATTAGATTAAATATGTTTGAATTCTAGAAAATGATTTTCCCCTCTCCCTTTCTGGGTAAGACTTTGAAAGGCATCTTGCAAGTCTAATTACTCTCAGATTTCTTATCTACTTTAAGTCAAATTCTCTGAGTGTGTATTTCAAGTAACATGTACGAACGAGTCTTTTATACTGGAAAGTTAAAATTTATAGAATAGAAAATTTTATTTTTTAAATAAATGGTATGTCAAGAACTACATTTGCATCCTATAAATACAATTGAACCCTTCATTTGGCCTTGAAAATATGTAATTTCTATTTACAGCAGTAATTTTATATGATAAAACTATAATTTTAAATTATGTTAACTTATTTTTTGTAGACACCAGAGAAGAAACAATCAGAATCATCCCGGGGAAGGAAGAGAAAAGCAGAAAACCAGAATGAAAGTAGTCAGGGTAAGCAAAGCAACAACCTCCTACAGAGCTCAGTAGGCATTTATAATTATTATTCTGATTTTTAATCCATTAATATTCTAGTTGTAAAATAAGTGATTTCTTGGGTTTTTTTTTATGAATTCCTTAGGTATTTTATAATTTTTGTGTTAATTGAGATTAAACTTTGCATAAAAAATAATATGAAACTTCAGGCTTTCTGTACCATATTTAATGTATGGTTTACTGTCTTTGGATTTTTTTTTGTCCCCCTCCCCATTTTAAAATGGGATCCTAGAAAGACAAGTACCATGTCCAAATCTGACAAGCATTACTTTGTTACCATCATTTTCCTCTCTTTTTATGAATTATGATATTGAAATGGTTTCTTATATTTAAATAACTTTAAAACTAACTTTAAAACAAGTACCCACACTTACCCCTCCTATTTATTTATTTGTTTATTTAAACTGCACATGGAAATAATTAGAGTTGGGCACGGTGGTGCACCTCTGTAATTCCCGCTCTTTTGAGACTGAGGCAGGAGGGTCACTGTAAGTTTGAGGTTAGCCTGAGCTACATACCAATACTCTATTCCAAACAAACAAAAAATTCTCAGAAGTAACTGAAGACTAATTTCAACATCTTTTTTCTCTTCATACTTGTTTTTTTACCATTTCTTGCATAGTGATCTTTTGTGATGGGGCTAAGAAAATTATTTTCACTAGGCTACAGATTCTCTTGTAATGGACAGCAAAAAAATATTATCATTCTATTTGGGACCTGAACATTAAATATGAATTAGAATCTGAAATCATGCATAATAATGATTTTATATATAGCATTATATGTTTTGTAGCCAAATCCATAAGGTGTGCCATAGCTTACCTGTTTATATATGGCCCTTCAACCAAGGGATATATTTGCAGCAACTATATTTATGAAAGAAAGGAGTTAAGGGCCTTTTCTCTATGTTCTAATACATTGTATCTCACTTTGCAATGAACTCATTTTTTTGTCTTAGTGTATTTTCCTCAGGTTATGTTTAGTGGACTTATACCTTTATTTATTGTAAATAACATTAATTACAATCATTTCAAAGCAGCTTTTTAAAAACTCAAAAGTGTGCCTTACTTGTTTTCACTTATTTGCTTTACTTTTTGTTGTTTTAGGTTTTGGTTTTTCTCTTTCTTTCTTTCTTTCTTTCTTTTTTTTTCTTTTTTCTTTTTTTTTTTTTTGCTTTGTTTTGGTTTGGTTTGTTTGTGTTGCTTAGGCTGGCCTTGAACTTGTAATCATCTGATCTTAGCCTCCTATGTAGCTGCGTTTATAGGTGTGCACCACTGCACCTGGCATTTGATATTTGCTTTAGAGAAAGGCCAGTTTTCTGTGTCCCATTTTAGTCCCCTGTTCTGCTCCCCTTTGGAGTGAACTTCGAAAACATACCAAAGCTGCCTTGTCACCTTACTGTCCAGATTACTTGTTTATCATTTCAAAACTAGTAATATGCAACATAGGTACTATGTCTAGGAAAATCATGCTTGCTTCTGAAACTGAAGATAAGGTAAAAGTGTTCCCCTTAAAAATATGAGCTGTGCACTGCCTGCCTTGCAAGCACAAGGACCCAAGTTTGATCCCTGGTACCAAAAAAAGAAAAAAGAAAGAAAAGCTGTGTGGAGAAGTTGTGATACCTGAACAAAATGGAAAGGGGAACTGGGACTGGGGGCTGTATAGCCGCCTCTGAAATTACATGTGCTGTTTAGGGAGAGAGATATAATGGAATAAAATTTGGGCGTTGTCATGGGGAAAATAATTTGGGAAAGAGCTTCTAGATAGGCAACCAAAAGCATTTGTGTCTTCTTTAATACTACCTTTTCAGAATCTTCAGGGGAGTTATTACAAATAGGAAGTTCCTTTTGTATAAAACCCCTATCTCATATCTAAACTATAAGTACATTTGTACAAATTTGTTGTTCAAAATATCTAAATAGTAGGCCGGGGATTTAGCTCAGTGGTGCTGCCGCCTGCCTCGCAAGCACAAAGTCTTGAATTCAATCCCTGGTAGCAAATAATAATTTTTTAAAAAAGCATTCTCAAAGTTTCTAAGTAGCATTTATAATCTAAGTACACTTGTTTTTTTTAAAATTCTCCTTACTCCAAGAAGAAATGTAAATTTTTAAATATATTGTTTGTCTCCATAATGCCTGGCACATAGTAACCACTTAAGAAATATTTGTTGGTTAAAATAAATGAATGCATAAATATAAGTCAGTATTGAATTGGTAGATGTATATTTGTTTATATTATGCAAAGCCTTTTGCTCTATGATACTAGCTTCTTCCTATTGTAACTTGAAAAAATCATGTATATATATAGTTCCAATCAAAGATGAATGCCTGCTCCCCAAAAAACTTTTCTAAATGTCATCTTCGTTAACATATTCTTAATTCAATATTTATAAAACTTATAAACACTGAACACTGAGAACAATGTGATTAGTAACAACCTAGTTTATTTTATCACTGTGGTCATAAGAGCAGACCATAAAATCTAATTTATTGAAACATAATAATTTGGGAATACTTTTCAGAAATTCATACACATTTTACAAAATAACATTGATACTGAAGTATGCTTTCAGTTTGACAGGGATTAACTTTTGGTTTGTATTAACTAAAGCTTTTTTATTTTATTTACCAAGCATGAATTAAGTTGCCAGTAATGCAGTTGCCATTTGTCTTTTCTTTTTTGTTGATTTACTTCTTTAAAACAAATAGACATTAAGCCATGTTAACAATGTTTTAAAAGCAGGGGTCCCTTTGCAGGGTGTATCTCAGTGGTAGAGCATGTGCTTGGCAAGGGCAAGGTCCTGGGTTCAATCACAGTGTGCCAAAACAAAACAACAAAGTCCAGAAGATTCCCTAATGTCTTTGATTTACCTGATTTTACAGTAATGGGAGTTTTTTAATTGGCATATTTTTATTGAAATGTCTTGATTTTTTTAATCTATTATAAGAATTTAATTTTTTGATACTCTTTACTACACCACTAAAATACCATTCATTTTTATGTGCATTAAGAAAATTAAGTTTAACACATTTTCTTTCTAATACAGTATTTGGTAGATAATCATGAATGAATTTAAATATATAAATATTTTTACTTTTATATTTTAGGAAAAAGTATTGGGGGACGTGGCCACAAAATTAGCGACTATTTTGAAGTAAGTTCACTGAGGATAATTTCCAGTTCTGATTCAGTATAATTCTATGAGCTGAAAATAATTTGAACCATAAGGTCAACCTTTGAGCAGACCTTCAGTACGATGTGATACTCTATCTTCCTAAGAACATCAAACTTTACTTTCAAACCAGGTATGGTGGCACGTGCTTGTAGTCTAGCTAAGGCAGGAGGATTGCCATGAGGTTCAGACCATCCTGGACTAGTGAGTTCAACACCAGCCTTAAATAGCAAGACGTTGTCTCAAAAGAACAACAAAAAAATACTCTTACATTGGTATGTCACATCATAATTTTAAAAGTACTTTCTAAAAAGTTGCTTATAACAACCCATAAGATAGGCGAAGTAGGTTTTAGTGTTTCTATTTTACATGTGGGGAACTGAGGGCCAGAGAAGTAGCCTACTGAAAGACAAACTCTAAATAGAAAAAGAGTAGAACTTAGTCTAGCAACTTTTAGTATCAGTGCAGGCTTTATCACACAACAGCAACATTGGCCCCTGTGGATGGAGATTAAATAATTGATATAGATAGGAATCTTACATACATACATACATATACATTGTATAATATATTAATATAATATAATATATATATATGTAGTATCTTTAAACATATTTGAAATGTTTGTGCCTTCATAGAAACCCTTGGGCTACCAATTTTATATTAGAATATATTAGTATGATTATTAAAACAACAAATACAATCTATTCAGTTGAAAAAGTTATATTTGAAAATGAGAGAACTGACTGAGTAGATGAATGGCTGAATTTGAAAAAAAAATTAAATCCGCCATTGCTTTGAGTTTACAGATTCTAAGGGAAAATATTTTGCTGACTACAAATTACCTAATGCCCTTTAGTTGAGGTCAGTCACTCAGTGTTAATATTCAAGAACCTTTGTTAAAGCTAGGATCAGTTCAAATAAACAAATGTCTCTTGGATGCCTACTGTGTGCTGGGCATTATGCTAGGCACTATGAATAAAATAAATGAGATAAAATTCTTAGGTTGCTGGTAGTTGATTAGTGACCACATTAAGAATCCCCATCTCTGCTGTTCATAGCAGTTAAGTGAGTAAACAGCAAATGAAATAGACAATAAACCATACTCCTAGAAGAAGCCAATATTAGCAGATTGTTTTCTTCTGCTACCTTATCTAAAAATATGAGATAGGAGAAAAAGTAGTCGGAATAGGTTAGTTGTCTTCTCTTCATATGCAGCCAATTACACACTTTGTAAGAAGGAACTGAAAAGATTTTGTGCTACTGAAGAAAAGGACTTGTCCTATATAATTCTTCTGTGTAGTAGCATGAACTTTTGGGTATTCTAACAGAGCTTAAGAATGATGATTCTGTTTTGAAATAGTTGATTATGTTTACTAAAATCCTCATGTAAATGTCTTAAAATTGTTTGGGGATAGGGACTATATTCATTCAAGAAACATGTATAGCAGAACTATGCTAAACTTTGGAGGAAAAATAAAACAAGTTTATGCTTTGGGATAACTTGTCTTTGAGTCAACCACAACAACAAATTATAATCACAGTTAATATAAAATAATAAGTATCTTTATAAGATGTTGTATTTTCATGTTCTTATCAGTGGTCTTTTAGGACTTGCTTGTAAGTGACCTTAATTTTGCTTTTTTTCCTGTACCTGTTTAAATGCTTGATCTTATTTAAAATAAAATGTATTTAGGGGTAGGGAGGTAGCTCCATGGAAGAGCACTTGCCTAGCATACATGAGGCCCTGGGTTCAATCCCTAGCACCACAAATAAAATAAATAAAATAAGATAAAGTATATTTAAATTAATTCTTGATGTGTTGTCAAAATAACAACTACCTAATCCCCATTAATAAGTAGTGATGTTTCCTTTCTCTTTTTCTCAGTACCAAGGTGGAAATGGCACAAGTCCTGTAAGAGGCATACCTCCTGCAATCCGTTCTCCTCAGAATTCACATTCACATTCCACTCCTTCCTCATCTGTAAGTTTTTATCTTTCCAGTTTTTCATACATAGGCTTTCAGAGATTATGTACACCAAATAACTTTTATATTTTATTGAAAATTTCTATATAAATAGGTATATGTTTTCAAAAGTCATTTCTGTGTGGTGGATTGAATCATTTTGAATGATCTGATGCTATTGCAATTTGGGGGTGGGAGGGTACCGGGGATTGAACTCAGGACCTTGCACTTGTGAGGCAGGTAGCGGCACAGAATTTTGTTTTTGAAAATGAGCTTCTTAAAGATTTCATAAACTAGATTTTAATTTTTGTTCACTTTAATTATGCAAAAGTTTAGTATCTAATCAGAAAAGTAAAGTTGACTTTCAGTAATTTAAAGATGAGTGGTGAAGTCCAAACTGGTGATGCGTGTTTATAATCCCAGTATTTAGGAAGTCAGGAGGCCCAGGCAAAACTACTGGTGAGTTCAAGGTTTGCCTGGCCTTCATGCAAGACCCTGACCTCGCCAGGCGTGGTGGCGCACGCCTGTAATCCCAGCACTTGGGAGGCTGAGGCAGGAGGATCGCTATGAGTTCGAGACCAGCCTGAGCTACATAGTGAGTTCCAGGTCAGTCTCAACTACATAGTGAGACCCTGTCTCAAAAAAAAAAAAAAGAGCCTGACTAAAAAAAAAAAAAAAAAAAAAAAAAAAAAAAAAGAGCCTGACCTCATAGCAAGGTCCTGTCTCAAAACAAAAACCAAGCAAATAAAGATGAGCTAGAAAAATTTAAAACCAGAATTTCCCTTACTTATTCCAGCAACTTATTTATTTTTATTTTCTATGTCTTCTCCTTGTCTGTAGCATAGTTTTGTTTCATTCCTTTTATACATTGGAATGTACAAAATGAGAATACTCAATAGTACTTTTAAGTAAAGTGATGTAGTGACAGCATTGAAACACTGTTGTAATCTGCTTTCAATGAGTATATTTTAAAACTATGACTAGGTAAACCATAAAACTCATTAATAAGTTGGTGCCAAACTACTCATGGACATGCATTGTTATCTCTACTACTAAGAATTATGTATAAATACGTTTATTTTTCCTTTTCAAACCATCATCTATTTTTAATAATTTTGTTTCTGAATAATTGACTTGGCCTTAATGTGTTTAACAATATGAAATGCATTAAGATTTCTTTTAGGGAAGTACTATAATATGAGCTCTGTGGGCAGGGCATTTATGGTTGTAACTCTCACTGGGCCTTACATAGGAGGTACCCAGTGAATGCTTGTTGACTATATGGTGATTAGGTATTAACTCACCGAACAGAAAACTTTTTTTCTTGCAAAGGTAGAAATTTTACTTTTTTTTGTTTTTTTTTTTTTTAGGTTCGACCGAATAGCCCTTCCCCTACTGCATTAGCTTTTGGGGACCACCCTATTTTACAACCAAAGCAGTTATCTTTTAAAATTACTCAGGTAAATAGTAACTAAATTTTTTTCTATTATTATTAGGAAACTAGTGACCACCTTTGTGTTAACAAGTATTTGTCTTAGACATAATCATAAAGTAAAACATCAAGAAAACTACTTATTAATGGAAAGTAGTTTACAGAGGAGTACAAACTTAAAACACTGAGTTTATTATAAACTTGACGTTTGTTATACACTGGCAAATGTATAGATGTTTGAAGCATGTCAAATAATCAGAACAACCAAAACATATCAATTCTGTTTATTAATCAGGGTGTGTGTGTATGTGTGAGTGTGTATGTGTGTGTGTGTGTGTGTGTGTGTGTGTGTGTGTCACTGTGTATTAAATCCTGGGCCTTGAGCTTGCTAAGTAAGGGCCTAATTCCTTTTGAATTTAATATCCACTTGTATATAATTGATGTCTTCATGATGCTACAATGTTTATAAGTTGACATTAAATAGTTCATTTGAGTGTCTGTGTATCTACATAGATGCTACAAATTGCAAAAAAATTGTATTATTTTGCTATCTTCTATATTTTATTTAGTTCCATTAATTTTGAATACAGGTACTAAGATTTTTTGGTTTTTTGGGGGGCTGATTCTCGAACTGAGGACATGTGCCTGTTAAGCACATGCTCTACCACTAAGCTGCACTCTTAACCCAGTACTAAGGTTTTGATTTTAAATTTTTACATGTGACTATTTCCTGATGTCACTTTTTCAGCCTGGGAGCTGGAGAGTAGATCCTGTTGCTTGATCACCTCTGGTCCCCAATTCATTTCCATTAGACTTTATTTATGGGATCATATCCAAACTCTTGTGCATGTAGCAAAACCTCTTTGGATAATCCTAAAGTCAAGATTACACATACAGGAACAATATCTTTCAGTCCTTGAGCAGCTCCTAAAAGGTTTTCCTGCATGAAGTTTTGGTCAGAGGGTACAAAATTTCAGTTTGAGGTATCGGTTATACATCCTGGTGACTATACTCAATAACAGTATATTTTATATATGAATATTGCTAAGAAAGTAGATTTTTACATGTTCTTACCACAGAACAAATATGGCATGTGTTCATTTGCTTGATTTAGCCATTCTGTACTATATGCATATATCAAAACATGATGTCTACCATAAACGTACAGTTTTTACTTCTCAAATCATTTAAAAAAGTATTTTGTAAAGCCGAAGAATCAAGTAATGTACAGCACAAAGCAGTAGATAACATTTTTAAAGAGGCACATCAGTATTCTAAGTAAACATTTTTTGTAAGTTTGTAGCATTTATACTTCTGATATAAGTTTGTAACATTTATACTTCTGATGTTTGGTTTTGGATTTTGGGTTTTTTGAGGCAGGATCTCTCCATGTAGCTCAGGCTGGCCTTGAATTAATTCCCTATATAGCCTAGGCTGGCCTCAGACTCACTGTGATCTTCCTGCCTCAGCCTTCCAAGTGCTGGGATTATAGGCATGTGCTACCATGCCCAGTTTCCTGAAGTTATTAAAGCTAGAAACTACACTATGACCTTTTGGTCTTAGTGTGCACTTTACATACACAAAAAACTCATATATAATTTTTTGCTTTTTGAAGTAGGTAAAATGTAGTTTTTTGTTTGTATGTAACAATATACATAATAGAGATAATAAAATAGCTTTCTTTCATCTAGACTGATCTCACAATGTTGAAATTAGCAGCATTAGAAAGTAATAAAAACCAGGACCTGGAAAAAAAGGAAGGTCGTATAGATGATTTGCTCAGGGTAAGTAATAAGTCATGGAGGGGGAAAAATTGAGTACTGTAAATTATTTGGCAACAGTGAAACTGTTGAGAAAAATACTTAACGTGGTAGAAGCATTCTGTATCTAGACAAAAATAAACTTTATTTAGTTTAAGTACCTAATTGAAATACCAACTTTTAAAGTGAAAAAAATTTTACTAGCTTTTTAAATGTGAATTGAGAAGAAACAATTGAAATAGTTTATAAAATTTGTCTCACATATCAACTATTCATCAGATACCCATTTCATGTTAATTGATTTTGTTATATTCCCACCTGACATCTGATACCATAGAGGATGAAATAACTGCTGCAGTCCTTAGAGATTTTTAATGAAAACTTTATTTTTAAATATATCCAAAAGTATACTTATAATGTGAATAAGGTACAAAGCAGTAGTACACATCCCTTGCTGCTCTTTAGAATCATCAGAGGGGAAGGGTAGGAATATAAATGCCTTTAAATCTACCATAAGGAGTTCTGATCAAGGTGATATGATATAACTTGGGCATTGATAGTTTTAAAAGTTGCTACAGACTATTCTGATTTAAACCTGAACTGAGAACCATTGGTATAGAAACAACAAAACCAACAACACCTGTGATCCTGCCATACCCACCAGTACCTTTGGAATGCCCTTGTATGTTTCCTGATCTCAACGCCTTTACTGTCTTACACCCCTTTTCTTTTAACCACTGTTGTAAAATGTGTATTTATCATGACTTTGTGTTTCTTTATGATTGTATTAAATGTTTTTTACTTTCTTAACATTATATTCAGTTTGTTATTGAACTTTAAGTAAAATTATCCTGTATAGATTTGCCCTGCTGTTTTCATTGAATATCATATGTAAGAGAGTTGCCCACATTGATGAGTATAACTATTGTCTATTTTACTGCTCTGTAGTAAAGCATTACTATATGACTATAACATAATTTTCGTATCATTTTTGCATTTAGTTGACATTTTACTTCTACTTTGCTAAAAACATTCTTGTATATCCTTATTTTCCTGTTTTGTTTTTTGTTTGTTTAAGTGTATTGGTACATTTAAAGCAAACAATACAGTTACATTTATCATTGGGATCTTGTACCTTTACATGGTATATCTTGGTTCTTGTTTTTTCACCATACCCCTGCCCTCCCTTCACCCCCTTCACCCTTCCCTATTTACAAAGACTTTGTTTCCATTTTTTCATTTTTTCACATTTTTTTTCTTTTCCCTTTCCCCTCCTCTTCCCACTTCCCCTTTAGTGTTTGTTTTTGAGACAGGGTCTCACTATGTAGCTCAGGCTGGCCTTGAACTCTTGGTCATTCTCCTGCCTTAGCCTCCCAGATGCTAGGATTATAGACGTGTGACACCACTTCTGGCCATCCTTATTTTCTAAGGCATATGTGCAAGAATTTTTCTATTGCCTGTGCCTAGGAAAGATGTGGTGCTACTATAAAACATGTACATCTTCTACTTTATTTTGTGATGCCAGTGTTTTTCTCAAAGTGATTGCTTCAGTTTATACTCCCAATGACAGTGGTCCAGAAAGACTTTCCTTGTTCATTATCTTTGCCAAGATTTAGTATTACACCATTTTAAAAAAACTTTTTTTTGCTAATCTGAGGGCTATCATAGTATCTTATGGTCTTCTTATAAATTTCTTATTTACTAATTGATTTTGAACCTCTTTAAAATATTTATTAACTGTGTTTCTTCTGTGAAATAGTTGGGAGATTTCTGACCATTCTTTTTTTAATTAGGCTGTTTGACTTTTAGTGATGCTAAGTTTTTGTTGGTCATTTGGATCAGTTTTCTGTCACTTTGTGAATTGTCTTTTTATTACATTGTGCTGGCTTTTAATGAATAGATACATTTTGAGTTTTTAGAAAGATTTTTAGTCTTGAGTTTCAATTATAAACTGTTAGTCTTGCTAGAATTGGCTTTTGGGTGTGGTAGGACTTCATTATATTGCTATTTGTGTGGTTAAACAGTTATCTGATGCCACTTAATAGTCCGTTCTTACTCTACTATCATAAAATTTTGTTTACATATGCAAGTAGCTCCATTTAATATTTTATATTATGTTCCCTTTTTATATTTATGTTTTACTACACTGATACTGTAGCATCTTTTTATCATTTAGCAGTCATCTTTGTAACAAAGAATGTAAACAACAGCACTTTCAACAAGATTGAAATTTATCCTTTAAAAGAATAGATGTGGGTAACCCAGATACGATTGTTCCTCAGATGTCATATGAGACTTTAGCTCCTTTAGTTGTTCTGCTTCCTCATCTTTATACATGGCTTGCATTTTGAAGGTCACATTGAAGTCCAAAATATCTGTTAGAGTCATAGTTCTCATTTCTGTCTTGTAAGTGGAAAACAGGAATAGAGAAGAACAAGAAACACAGTTCTGTGTACAGTCTTCTTGAATATCACATTGAACTTCTTTTGCTTAAATTTCATTGACCATTATTACATAGCTGCAAATAAAGCTGGGAAGTATAGTCATTTAGCTAGGTACATATCCAGAATAGAACAATGGATTATTATTCAAAAGAGGCATTTGAGTAAATATTATCAGCATAGCTTTATATTAAATTTTGATATGTGGTTGAACATATATCCTCTTAAATTTGGCTGTTTAGGGCCTTTTGCAGTTTAAAAGAAATTTTAGATTGTTTTTCAAGTTAAATATGTACACACCATGCACACACATAATTTGTTGCAGTTTTGTTTGAATTATATGTAATTATGAAGATTTGTTGGTGCAAAATTCCATTTCTTCTTCCTTGAAAAAGTTTTGTTGAGTGTATAATTTTAGGGTGGTATTTATTTTCTCCCAGCATTTTCAAGATAAGCCACTGTCTTTTAGTTTCTGTCCTGATTTGCTTAGCCTTGTGGTCTCAAAATATCATCTTCATACCAGAAACATCAGCATTTCTACAGAACTTTTTAGAAATGGGAATTCTTGGGCCCTTCCCCAGACTATTTGAATCAGAACACTCTAGGGTTATGTCTTAGCAAAGCCTCCAGATTATTTTCTCACCATTTTACTAGAGTAATCCGACTTATCTGGGATTACAGAGATGTTTCTTCTCTGAGCATACAGCTGCCTACAAAGTGAACAGAATTGGTACCCTATTGCCAAGGAAAAATGATAAAGAAGCAAGTTACCGTTACAGTATCATCCAAAAGTCGAATGGAGAAAATGTTTTATTAGCTACACAAGGTAGAAGACACATTTATTCATATTAGACATATTTTATACCATATTTCATTTGTTTTTAACTGAGAGGGCCAGGGTTTTAGCTCAGTGGTGCTGCCACCTGCCTCGCAATCACAAGGACCCAAGTTCTATCCCTGATACCAAAAAAAAAAGTCACCTAATATTTTTAACTGAGATAGATTATGTGGCCTCTGTTTAGAAATTTAAAAACTGAACTTAGATCTTATAGCAAGACATTGCTCATTTATCAAGTTAAAACTTCTTAGAAATGTCTGTTCATCTTGTGGAACACTTGCAGACCAAGTTATTTGTAATCCAGGTTTTGACTGTACTTGGCTTCTTTAAATGCTGATCCTTTCAAACACTTCCTTTCTGGCCAAGCTTTATATCATTTGGCTCTGCTTTTTGCTCTTGATTCTCACTGTAAACTTGGCTGAAAGCAGCCAGCAACACCCATGCCATATCCTAAATATTGAGATACTTTGAAATTTCCTCCTCCAGATTGATTAGTTTGCCATTTTTAATATCAGTCTCCCACAAAGTCTCAAGATATGGACAAAAGTAGACAAATTTTCTGCCAGAGCATAACACATATGGCTTCTAGTTCAATTGCCAATGGTCCTTATTTCTTTCTTTTTTTTTTTTTTTGGTACCGGGGATTGAACTCATGTCCTTGCGCTTGCAAGGCAGGCCACCGAACCGCTGAACTAAATCCCCAGCCCCAGTGGTCCTTATTTCTAACTGAAACCTCCTGAGCCTGACCTTTATTGGCTGCATTTTGATCTTCTGAGCTCTGACCAGTTTCATACATTAAATGTCATGCACAGCATTCCAGAGCTTCTCTAGCCTGCATCTTCAAACTTTTCCACACTCCCCCACCAAACCAGTTCTGGCACCAATACTCTATATTAATCAGTTTTCCTGTTCTTGAGATAGAATATGCAGCATCTACAATTTAGAGAAGTTTGGTTTTGGTTTTTGGTTTGGGGTGTGTGTGTGCGTGTGTGTGTGCGTGTGTGTGTGTGTGTGTGTGCCTGCGCGCACACGCGCATGTATGTGTGTATTTGTATGTTTTAGCTTACAGTTTCTGTGGGTTTAGTCCATAGTTGGCCAGCTCCAAGGAGAAACCACATGGTGAAAGTACAAGCAGAGGAATATTGTTCACATCATGGTGGCCAGGAAGCACACGGAGAGAGGGAGAAGAAGAGCCAGGGACAAGAATACACTCTTCCAGGTCATGGCCCCACAGTGACCTGCCAACTCTGATCAGGCCCTGCCACTAAACATAAGACTTTTGGAGAACATTTTAGATCTAAACTATAATGATAACTTAGCCAATATTATATAAATTAGGGTGTGGATTTGAATGTATAAAGTACGTATACCAAACTTTATGTACTTTCCAAAACTGCAGATACATAGCATTTAATAGTATTATCCCACATTCTCAAGGCTTTTGAAATTCCATAGTCAAATATTTAATCTTCAGTAATCTTATCTCTAATTTATTGAAAAGACAAAATGTTTTTAGGCTTTTCATGTATGCAAATTCTAAATCTTTTGTGTTTCCTGCTTATGTTGTAGGCTAACTGTGATCTCAGACGGCAAATAGATGATCAACAAAAATTACTTGAAAAATACAAAGAGAGATTAAATAAATGCATATCAATGAGCAAGAAACTTCTTATTGAAAAGGTAAGGTCAGAGTTCACTAAAATTTCCCTTTACTAGCCCCTTTTACCATGTACGTTGTAAAATTTAAATGAATAAAATTAATGGGTTTTTTTACTCTTCTTTTTCAGAGCACGCAAGAAAAACTATCAAGCAGAGAGAAGAGTATGCAAGATAGATTACGCCTTGGGCACTTTACAACAGTTAGACATGGTGCATCATTTACTGAACAATGGACAGATGGCTTTGCATTTCAGAATCTTGTGAAGTTAGTCATCCTTGGATTTAAATATTTAGCATTCCTTTGTGTTTGCATTACTTTAAAAGATTATAAATTTGTAATTATGTTTAACATTTTATTTGAAATCAGAACTTAGCAGATTTGAAAGGAATATGAAACAAAACAAGACTTTTTGAAAACTAACATTCACCTATGGAATATAGTGTATTTTTCTAAATCTTACTTTCCCAAGTATAAACTAACCCTTTAACTTTATAGATGATATTTTGGAATGAAAATTCTTGACAATTTTATGTTCTTTAAAAGCTCTGCATGTGTATCTTGTGGAATTTTTTTACTTAAGGTTTATTTTTCTTGCTGTGTTGCCCAAACTGGTCTCAAGTTCCTGGATTTTAGTGAGCCTCCTGTCCCAGTCTCCTGAGTACTAGGACAATAGCCACATGACACATGCTTAGCTTCCCTCTTTTTTTCCCATTCCTCAGTCTTTTAGTGTTAGTGTACAGCTTTTCCCTGCTCTCTAGCCTAAGGGAAGAACTTTTCTTTTTGCCTCAAATGCAATAACTCATTATTGTAACTGATTAATATTTCAAAGGTAACTTTAAAACAAAAATATCACTGTTACATTTCCTTGAGTTTAGATAGTGATAGGTAAGAATAGGTTGGCCATTTATTAAGGAGCCAAAACTTATACTGTTCCTTTTTATTGTATTTTCCTTGCTGAAAAATTTGTTAAAGCAGAAGTAGTACTATTGTCCACATCAGCTTTTCCACTCAATCCCATTTGGAAAACAGAGGCAAAGTTTATTACATGTAGTATTACATCAGCATTGCTGCTTCAAACACTTTCTCAGGACTTGGCACAGAGTGCCTTTCTCTCAGCAGATTTATTGAGCTTTTAGTCAGCATAACTGTGCTAGATTATGTATACCACAATGAAGGATGGTGTCCTTGATGTGCTTGGGACTTTGAGTTTAATTCTGTGGATAATGAGAACTATTAAAGACTTACATGTTATATGTGATCAGGATTGAGTTACAGAATGATACTCTGTTGGCAGTGTGGGTATTGGAAAGAAGATAAATTATTGAAAGCTAAGATGGAGAGGTATCCAGTGATAGGTGATTATGCTTCAGCTAAAATACTGACCATAAAAGTAGAGAGCAGGAAATGGATTTGTGATAGAAACCATTACATTTAGTGTTTTGTGAGCAAGAACCTCTGCTACTAAGCCCAGGCCAGCAATTGTTCTGTAAAATAAAAGAGAGGTTTGCAAAATTAATATGCATAGTCTAAAATATTACTTCTGGCAGTAGTTAACTTTATTACGCTGTCAACAAAATAAATATTAGTTACATGTTTTAAATACCACCAATACGCCTTAATTGTATTTAATATATTATGCACACTGTTTATAATCAGTGATATAACTGAAAGTAGTTGGAATATGAGAAGAGAAATTAATACATAAAAATTAATCATATTAGTCTCTAAACTGAATGATCATTTCAGATGAATCAAGTGCTAGCTGTATATTCATCCTTCTAATCCTTTACTTTCTGTTAGGACTTTAATAAGCTATTTATTTGTCCATATAGCAAGAATCTTGATTTTACTATACTAAAATAGCTTTAACATTTACTACTTTTCTTTTCTTTATTGTTTTCTTTTTCTTCTTCTTTTGTTTCTTTTTTTTTTTGGTAAGCAAGTACTTTAGCACTGAGCTACATAAACCAGCTCTAAAATTTGCTTTTTTAATAATTGAAATTATTTTTCCCTCTTCCCAATGTAAACTGCTTATTTTTACTTTGCTATTCTTGCTTTTTATAAACACTCTTGTTCTTCTGTGTCAGTTTGTTGTTTTTTTGTTTGTTTTTTTTTTGTACCAGGGATTGAACTTGGGATCTTGCGCTTGCGAAGCAGGCAGCAGAACCTCAGAGCTAAATCCCGGCCCCTTCTGTTAGTTCTTGATTCTTTCAGTCTTGTCATATTCTGCTACCCGCTTCATGAACTAGAACTGTAGGGAAGGTATGTGTATGCCAGGGCACTTCTACAACAGCCATATAGGCACTCTGTAATTTCTGGTTTGAAGATGGAGGTAGGCGTGAATAAAACATTTGACTTGCTCTAAATCTAAATACTATAACCATGTAGGGTTTTAAAAAATTCTTTGTCTGGACATAATGGTGCACGCCTGTAATCCTCAGCACTCAGGAGGCTGAGGCAGGAGGATTGCTGTGAGTTTGAGGCCAGCCTGGACTGCATAGTGAATTCAAGGCCAGCCTGAACTGCATAGTGAGACCCTGTCTCAAAAAAACAAAAAAATCTTCTTGTAGTGAGGTAACATAAAAGGTTAGTTACTACTAGAATAAACTTAAACTATTGTATGATATTAGATATAATGTCTATTAGTTTTTAGAATTGGTAGCTCTGAAAAATTTTTAGATTCTTGAATGAGAAATTTTAATGACTTTACATTTATTAACTGCTAATTTTTTCAAATTAGTGCTTTTTTTTTTTTTTTTTTTTTTTTTTTTTTTTTTTCTTATGTTTC